ATATACTAAATTTCTTGTATACAAATTATAAACTCATCATCCTCTAGATTCAGAACCTGTATTTTAGCAACCAATTTTTTTTACTATATACTAAATTTCTTGTATACAAATTATAAACTCATCATCCACTAGATTCAGAACCTGTATTTTAGCAACCAATTTTTTTTACTATATACTAAATTTCTTGTATACAAATTATAAACTCATCATCCTTCTAGACTTAGAACCTGTATTTTACCAACCAGTTCCTTTACCAAATACTAAATTTCTTGCATACAAATTATAAACTCATTATCCTTCCAGACTTAGAACCTGTATTTTTTTATCAACCCATTCTTTTACTATATACTAACTTTCTTGTATACAAATTATAAACTCATCATCCTCTAGATTCAGAACCTGTATTTTAGCAACCAATTTTTTTTACTATATACTAAATTTCTTGTATACAAATTATAAACTCATCATCCTTCTAGACTTAGAACATGTATTTTATCAACCAATTTTTTTACTAGATACTAAATTTCTTGTATACAAATTATAAACTCATCATCCTTCTAGACTTAGAACCTGTATTTTATCATCCAGTTCTTTTACTATGAAGTAAATTTCTTGAATACAAATCTTTACAAAACTTAAACGTAATATAAACATTTTCTTAAACACCAAAAATGGAAGAAAAAATCCAGACACTTGTATAACATTTGCAAGTGCTGTCTTTGATACACAAGAAAGTAAACAAGCATATGATTGAAGAAATATGTTGACATTCCATGCTTAATGTTAAGAGATATTTCTATATAACCAGTTTTATCTGTTATTTGAATTAAAGATTTGAAACAATTGTGTTGGATAATATAAAAGTTAAATAATTAACATTTGCTATAAATATTTTTTTTGTTTTTTTCAACTTCCATGCAAACTATATTTCCCGGTTGTGAATTTTCAACATGACAGTATGGAATATAGCACAAATGTTGGGTTAGGTATATTTCCTGGTTGTGAATTTTCAACATGACAGTATGGAATATAGCACAAATGTTGGGTTAGGTATATTTCCTGGTTGTGAATTTTCAACATGACAGTATGGAATATAGCACAAATGTTGGGTTAGGTATATTTCCTGGTTGTGAATTTTCAACATGACAGTATGGAATATAGCACAAATGTTGGGTTAGGTATATTTCCTGGTTGTGAATTTTCAACATGACAGTATGGAATATAGCACAAATGTTGGGTTAGGTACCCTTTTTTTACAATTTGAAACTTTAATACCATAACAAGATATTTGGGATTCACTAGCACAAATAAAGTAAGAGATTACTCATATTTTGTTACTTCAACATAAATGACAACAAAAGTATATGAATCTTTGTAGGGTAAATATTAGCTAACAAATTATAGGAAAACTTAAACAAAGTTGCACACTGAAATAAATGAATTCTGGTAATATTTTCAACTTGACATTATATACTGATAGATGTAAACAGACTAGAGTCTAGTAGAGTAGTTTAGCAGAATTTATTTCTTCAATGCTTCATTAATAAATACTGAATAAGATACATTTTATTTAGGCCTAATTTATGATATAACACTTAATACATAATTAACATTATAACAGGGTGACCATACATCCCAATTTCCAGGGAGAAAAATGTCCCCAATTTGAAGAATTAGCCCCAAATACCCTTATATTTCATTTTTCTATATTTATTATTATCTTGGGTTTAGCATCATCATTGATGACAATGATGCAGTTGCCATAGCTATGACCCTTTATGTCACAGATCATTTTATTGTTTGTTTTTTGTTTAGAAGAATACAATCATAAGACAGAAATACTCAAAGAAATGCAACTAGCTCTAATACATTGAACTTCTCCAGTACTGCTTGAATCTGGAATTATGGTGATTACAGGTAAAAAAAAACTTGGATGTGTTCCCAGTCTACAAAATATGGCCACCTTACATTATCTAAATAAATTCAAACCATGTAGTATTAAACTTATGATATTTCTATAAAAATAAAGAAATAAAAACATGATATACTTCAAAAAGCTTCTAATTTCTTTAAAATAATTGAATCAGAAACCTAATACAAACTACCACTTCAAGTCTTGGTTATCACCTTGTGAGACCTTTCCATGAAGATTCTCTATGAAAATGAAATTATTTTGAATTGCTTTAAATAACACCCACAGAAGTAGTTTGTTGAGATCTTTTGTATATACTGAGGCCATTCCATTTAACAAATAAAATGTTCATGTTATCAACATATTTACCAAATAAGTACAAAAGAAAAATTGTCTGATTACCTTTAATAATACTTTTCTGGTTCTCAGGATGCTAGATCTAATATAATGAGCCTCAAATTTTGAATCAAAACAAAAAAAAATTACATGAAGAATCCTCCATTGTACCATTTATGTGGTACAAAAGTGATACATTTCCTGTAATTCAAATATAAACTTTCAAATTTATCACTTTTTTCAAGCTCTATTTTCTAAGAAGCAGTAATACAAGATAATTATCTGGGAAGAGCTGCTATTTTGTAGTTTTTTTATGATCTGAGAAACTAAAACATTATAGTAATTGTGAAGTAATACTGGAAAAATGCATGCACAAGGCACTAAACTTAGAGGACAATGTAATGCTGGTGAACATGTCATTCAGCTATATTTAAAATAAAACTATATACCACACTCCAATAAAACAAGACCATTTATGGGGAGGGGTAGCAAAATCTAGTGTGGCCAGAGATAAAGAGGGGGCTTGCTTTAAGTGACAAGGAGTGGAAGGGTGGTATGCTGGCTGTTACCCTTGCCGATCTGCCAGTGATAAGTGAATGTGAATCTTAACATGTAGCAAGGACTCTACAAGGCATAAAAGATATTTTGTACTGTAAAGTCATCTAATGCTTACATTACATGTTAATGAATCAACTGTATTTTCTTTGTGTACATAACACAAAGGTGGTCTTATGTTATTGGAGGGTAGTTGCATTTATTTATATCAGGCTTTAAAGTATGGTACTTTGAGTTGTTAGAAAGTGTTCTATTAGTGAAGGCTATTAGGGTTAATCCTTTATTTAGCTCAGCAGGAAGAGAATTCCCCTGGTATGTTAGAAGTCTCAGATTTGATATCAAGCCAAAGAAATAAGATTACCACAGAAAAACTGATACCCAATGTGAGGCCATTACACATCCTCAAGATGAGCCCCAAGGTTTGTTTGTTTTTTGAATTTCGCGCAAAGCTACACGAGGGCTATGTGCGCTAGCTGTCCCTAATTTAGCAGTGTAAGACTAGAGGGAAGGCAGCTAGTCATGACCACCCACCGCCAACTCTTGGGCTACTCTTTTACGAACGAATAGTGGGATTGACCGTCACATTATAATGCCCCCACGGCTGAAAGGGCGAGCATGTTTGGTGTGACGGGGATTCGAACTCGCGACCCAGATTGCGAATCGAGCACCTTATCCACCTGGCCATGCCGGGCCGAGACCCAAGGGCATTTTTTTTTAATAAGAAAAAAGAATGTAGTTAGAATTGTTAAAAAAGTGCCTAACTAATATTTGCTAGAGGGTTAGCCATTTATTTCAGTTTTAGTGAACTATGACATGCAATAGGGACAATATTGTCTGCAGGGAACAAAAAAAAAATTGATTACAACATTTACAAGTTCTTCAAGTGAGAGACATTTTAAACTCTGATTTTAAAATGTTTTTCTCCTGACAAATAAGGTACGAATGAGCTTCAAATCTTGTAATAGATAATGTTATGTGAATCTGGCCCATAAATAAAAGTTTTTTGAATTATTCCTGCATTTAAAATAACCTCCAAAATAAATATTAATAATGTAATTTTGATAATAATATGCTTTAATCTTTTCCACAACAAGAGTATAGTAACACCTTCTTCTTGTTAACTAAAACTGCCAAATGGCAGGGATGCAAAATACTATTCCCACACAAATATCAGTAAACTAAGAGGTGAAATGTATATAAACACAACAATAGATTTGTTATTTTGTTCAAGTGAAGTTAGTTGATGTACAAACAATGTTCATACAAGATGGTAGTATTAACATGGTCCTTCTCATACTGTAAAATTAGAAATATCATGGCTAAAGATGCTTGGTTGGAAAATATAACTTTGAAACAATGAAAACCTCAAGATTTCACAACTTGTTTTAATTACAAGCTTTTGGTTTTTCTGTCAGTGCCTTCAAAATTGATACCCAGTGGGAAATAAATGGATTCTGGGCTTTATAATCTGATTGTCACAGCTCAAGAGTTCTACCAAACTGATGAAATGAAAACAGAGATGTGGCTTTCAGTAGGTTCAACAGGTCAATTGGTTAAAACTTCTGCCTGGTAATGAATCCAGAAAGGTTTCTGTTTCCATTTTTTTAAAAACATTTAAACAGTAACACTGGGTTTGGCTATCACACCTCAAAACAAACAAAATTTGGAAAATGCAATGTTATAAGTTCTTTAGTTATATTGGTGTTATGAAGTGAAACATTGTGCAATGAATATAACCTTAAATTACAAAAGTTCTATCTGCCAAGGAGAATCCGTGTACTATGTTTACTAACCACTTATAAAGCCAATGTTAGCAAGTATAAAACTAAATAATATGGGCCCTAGATATTCCTCTAACATTTTAATACTTCTTACTTTGACTAGAACATTTTGTAGAAAATCATAGCAGATGAATCTATTGCCAAATTTGATAACTAAATCACTAGAATTATTAAGTGCACTAAATAATGCTTGTGATCTCAGTTACAGAATCAGTCATTTTTCATGACTAATGATAATTGTCCAAAATATATCATTTTGTGATTGCTACTCACTTCATTCTGTGGTTACCACCCTATTCACACTCTGATTGCTACCTTTTTAAATGTGTAATTGTTAAGCTCTTCATTTTGTGGTCAACGTACAATAGAGCAACCAATCATACATAATGCCAGCTCACAGTACACTTTCTTCTGATGTGTATCGATACAGTTTACCTACTGTTCTGTAGAGTTGCACATTAGCCCTTATAGGATAGAATTTTATGTTTACTTGCTTACTAACTACATAAGAAACACCAGATGAGACTTTCCATGGTAATAACAACTTCATCAATAATAAGAAGTAAATGGACCTACCATAAGACTAAACCAACGGGAAAAAGTCACTAAAAATTTCTAATCAAGTGATAGCTATGGAATACTACCTAAAAAGCTGGCCATCCATGTGCAATGTATCACTACTCAAACAAACTAATCTTTCATAATACTTGGTCAAACACAATAATAGTACAAATTGGAAGTAATGTAGACATGGAACTTTATATGCATAAAATATAGATCTTCAATCTATAAATTATAATTCAGCAAATTTTGTTTGTAATAAAACAAATTTGTTTCTTCATCAGAACATACTAAAGTATGTAATATTAACCCAGACACCTTTCCTGTTTGAAAGTAGTATGCAATTTTAAACCAGAATTGACAAATGATACAAATATGAAGTATAAAAAGAAATCTAACACACATAACAAAGTAAACTGTATTTTATGACTGTGATATTAAACCCTGTAACAATCACAATACATCTTTTACCCTTACAACACTTTAATGGTCACAACATATTTAATCATTACAATGTTATTAGTTTTCTTCAGCACAAAGCTACACAATGCCTATGTATGCTCTTGTCCATTGCTGGGAATCACACCCTGGATTTTAGTGTTGTAAGTTTAATGTAATTCTAACCTGTTATCCCAGTTACTCAACTCATCCCAGTACATTAAATGTATTCCGTAACCAACCAATTACAATCTTTCACTCCAAGATTTAAAAACTACAAGTGTCATTTGCCCTAAGGGTTTGTACTTTTGTCTTGTAAGTGGTGAGGCACAAGAGGATATGTAGATGATCATGGACAATTTAACAACCAATACATGAACACACATAGCAACAGTTACACATTTTTTTGCTTAGTTTCTTTAAACAATTATAACAGATCTCTTTATTCCTGCTCCACCCCTCCAAATGGCTAATATTTTGTTTTAAACCTATTTCTTAAACTAGTGTATAGGTAAAAGGGGGGCAACAGTTTCTTAAAAATATCCTGAACCTATTATCAATTTAACCAGTATTTTAAATTATGTATTCTTTTCTTTTGTATATCATCATTTTAAAGTGTGACTGATTTCAGAAAGACTTCCACCTTTTTGAAAAGATCACCATCACAGAAAAGTTCTAAATTTTTACACTGATCTTCAGATAATACTACGTTCAATAAAAAAAAAAGACTGGTAATTAAACATTCTACACTAAATCTCAATTCATGGTAATATCTTTTAAGTGTCACAACTGTGGTAATAGAGAGTGACACACACACAAAACAATTATGGCTGCATGATGAGTGATTATTAGATAATGTTACAAATTAGTGAAGTAGATAAATGAATAATGATGAAAAAACACTAGCCTTTGCAATAATAATACCCATAATGATTACCAGACCAAATAGTATTATACACAAGTAAGTAAATTGAATAACCTAAGTGCTCTTCAGAAAGTGGGCCGTCTTTCCTTTCCTATAATGAAGGAAGAACTACCTTGCATGAATTATTGGCTTTCTTAATAGGTCCTGACAACTTCTGTGATCTAATATGCTCTCCATGTATCATCATATTTTGCACCTTTAGTATGTATTGTGTAGGGTTTGAAAGGTAAATGAACATGTAGTTTTGTAACAAGCTGAAATAAGAAGTAGTTCAAAGAATAAATCATTATTTCTTTCTATGAGTGGACACCAAACCAAACCAGTTGTTTTGTTCATCTACACCAATTTGAAAATAGAAAAGCCGCAAAAGTTAAAAATATTGTTAGGTTGACAAATTACCAGTTGGTACAAAATTTCAGTTAGTGGCCACATAATATATGAAAACATTCAGTAAAAGATACACAATTTACTATTTATGAGATGGTAAACTTTCACAAACATCTGGTATAACCTTACAAATAACAAACATATAATCAATAGGCCTAACGACTAGTATGCCTGTTTAAATGGATTAATATACAGGACCACGATTAATAAAAATCACGATGTCATAAAGGGTTAATTAATACATATGTAAGGTAATAACCCCTTAAATTTCTATCTAAAAGCATCTATTAATAAAATAATAATCTATAATATTCAAACAGAAGGTTTGTCTTAGCTAGTATGTGTTGGTGGCTACATACCAGTTAACCTCTAGCAAGAAACAACTAAATAAAATATACATGCATGAGAAAAAACAGGCAGATCTAAGCTTTTAAAAGCACCATTATGGCATAAAACTTTTTCCCAACAAGTTTAATTACTAATTGTAATATCTTAATATTTTCATTTATATAACTCATAAAAATTAGACTGGAAAAACATCTAAATTTGTCATAATTACATAAAATCAGAATTCAGATTAACTTCCACCCACAAATAAAAATAATTAAGAACAATTACTAAGATTCTCCACTATCAAGGATAAAATCAAAGTAACAAGTGTTGAGAATTTGTTACAATATTTTTTCCTTTCCCAATGTAGTGTAAATTTTAACACATATTTTAATCATAACCAACCAATTACAATTCTTTTACTCCAAGACATAACTTTCATCATCACTAGTAAGTGATGCATGATGATGGAAATGGGCAAGGTCTTGAGGTTTGAAGGAAGAAGCCACTACACTATGTGATTAGATGTACAGCTCAACTAGATCTGGCAGGAATAGATTGGAAACGCATATGAACTCAAAAACAGAAGAACAGCAACTTAAAAAAACAAGAGAAGAATCATAAAAATGACATGCTTCTACATGGGTGTTAAGAATTTGTTACAATACGCTTTCCTTTCCTAATTTAGCATAAACTACATATTTCAATTATAGTTACATGGTGGAAACAGAATAAACAAACAAAAAACATCCTTTAAATGCAAAGAAATAGTTACTTTGTCAATAATAAACCACTATGAGAAAAAATTACACTTACAACATGCCTTACACACTACTACTGTTGAAGGTTTTTTTTTTCTTTCTGAAGTTTCACGTTGTTTCGTTACATAGAGGTAACAAATTGCTAATACCTATCGTGTAACATAAACAGCATTTCAAGAAATCTCAAACAAGAACCAAAAGTTTCCTAACATTGAACTTACAACATCAGTGGCATTTGACATCGTCTCATCAAACATAAAACTTTTCTTAACATCACACTTATAGCATGAAAACAGTATTTAATGTTGTCTCACCAAACAAAGACAAGAACTTTACTAACTTCAAACTTACGAACAAACAACACCGTCTCATTACATACAGACCAGAACTTTATAAACATACATTTCTCACACAAATTAAACTAAATATATCTAATTTAAGAAAATACACTGAAAATAAGCATGACAGGAATAATGTTCTAAAAGAGTATACACTGGTACAAACCCTGATATGTTCATATGAATTTCACAAATTCTGATTCCTTGTTTCTTTTTACTGACTTGTGTATATATATATATGTATGCATTCATACATGTAAACATGTACAGTAATGCATACTATTTGTTTTTCAACCATGACAAACAGAATAAAATACTCTATCTTGTAATATTCCATAATAAGCTTTCAAATAAGCAATACAAAAGACGATAGAGCATAAGTATATTTTTATGTAATTACATGACTCTTAAGAAAGCAAAAAATACTTGGGATTGCAAAGTATAATGAAGGTTGTTTACATTTCAAAGGAACAATAAGACAATTACTATGCAGCACTGACTGAATGATGAAACTCCTCATGAATAAGTAGCATAATTTTCTTAGCGATTCACCCATCTTCTCATGGTCTCTTCCCAATCAGTGTTTCCTCCTTCTTCATCATCTGTACGGACGTAACTTTCATCATCTGTAGTAAGTGATGCATGACGATGGAAGTGGGCAAGGTCCTGAGGTTTGAAGAAAGAAGCTCTTCTAAAGCCACTATGCTATGTGATTAGATGTACAGCTCAACTAGATCTGGCAGGAGTAGACTGGAAACACAAACAAACTCAAAAACAGAAGAAAAGCAACTTAAAAAAAAAAAAGAGAAGAATCATAAAAATGGCATGCTTCTACATGGGTGTCAGAACAAAATTGATTACTAAATGTTCTTGTTACCAAGTTTCATGAATGTTTATCAGTGCTTCTTTTACACAGTAAAAAAAAAGATTATGTAAAAGTATATGTGGCATATGCATACACGTTTTCAAATATCAGCATTTTGTATCTCACTTACACAATAATGAACTTTACAAAGATATAATGTAATATTTCTTTTCTGTTTTTACTATCATGTACACATGTTGATTGAAAAATTATATGCTAAGTAGTGAAATGAGCTTACATCTGGTACATTAAAAGAATATAGCTGCATCACAGTCATACTAATGAGAATTGGAATATACTTTTATCATACTTTTAATTATATGATATTTAGATGTAGCATACTGGTCTGAATATCTTGGATGAACAAGGTTTAATTATATATGTTAGGTCAACTTTTGAGACTGTTCTGGTACAAAAAACTAAAAGAAAAAACCATAAGGTCATAACATTCAACATAAAAAAACAGTTAAAAACAAAAAAAACAACACAAAAGTTATTTGTAACACAGTAGTACAGAGAATATTACATATCCAAGGAATTATAATATGCAAACTGTTAAAACACGTTATTAAATCACACATAAACACAGCATTGACAATAGATCACAATATTAAATTCACTACTCATCATTTAAAAGGACTTGAAAATATTAATTTACAACTCAGTCATTTTTGTTGTTCCAAAGATTCATTAACAAGATTAAAAACAAACCAAAATAACTTACTGGCTGGGTACACAAGAATCTAATGATATACATCTCTACAAATGGCTAATTTGTGAAAAATATTTAGGTACTTGAATTTAAGTGTGGCTGTAACACTGTAAGAAGATGTTCTAACGCATACTTTATAACAGAGGAGCTTACTCTACCTCCTTCAGTGCACTGATTTTAGGATGAGAAAAAGGTTCACACAGATTGCCTTTATTAAACCGTATTTAAGTACAGAAATAGGCTTAGTTACTATACGAGTAATTCTGTTAAGTTTATTTTAAGTATTTTAATTAAGCTATACTGAAGAAGAAAAGCATGCTTACTAAAATCAATTTAGTTGTGTTTAAGTAGAGAAGCATGCTTACTAACAATAATTCAGTTGTGTTTAAGGTTAGTAAGCATGCTTCTCTACTTAAACACAGCTAAATTATTGTTAGTAAGCATGCTTCTCTACTTAAACACAGCTAAATTATTGTTAGTAAGCATGCTTCTCTACTTAAACACAACTAAATTATTGTTAGTAAGCATGCTTCTCTACATGCTTCTCTACTTAAACACAGCTAAATTATTCTTACTAACAATAATTTAGCTGTGTTTAAGTAGAGAAGCATGCTTACCAACAATAATTTAGCTGTGTTTAAGTAGAGAAGCATGCTTACCGACAATAATTTAGCTGTGTTTAAGTAGAGAAACATGCTTACTAACAAAAATTTAGTTGTTTAAAGTATAGAAGCATGCTTACTAACAATAATTTAGTTGTGTTTAAGTAGAGAAGCATGCTTACTAACCTTACTAACAATAATTTAGCTGTGTGTTTAAGTGGAGAAGCATGCTTACTAAGAATATTTTAATTTGATTGTGTTTAAAGTAGAGAAGCATGCTCACTAAAAATATTTTAATTTGATTGTGTTAAGTAGAGAAGCATACTTACTAATAATACTTTATCTTATCTGTATATAAATAGAGAAGCTTACATTAAACCCACATGGATGCAAGAAAACTGTTTTAATACAAAAATTCTATTTGATAAACATGTTACTGTCTAGTTTTCACCAACAGAACTTCTCACTATACATTCAGCTCACAAAAGATTTGTTTTTGTTATATGCTTAAAAGCTTTTTGAAGTATCATACAATTTTTAAAAAAACTGAAGATAAATGTCAGTAAAAACAATAGTTGCTTGTAAAGAAATTTTTTCTTCTCTACAAAAAATAAAAATCATGCACAGCAAATTTAACATTTTTATATAAAAAGAATAATTATCATACCCTTGGATCATTGTCATACAATTCTTCATTGTCATCTTCAGTTCTTGGATCTAAACTCTGGTGACTGCTTTTTCCATTACCTGTGTGTAACTTTCTAGATTCTAATTCTGCAAGAAAATGACTTTCCTGTTCCCACTGCCTTTCTTCCCTCCACAGTGTTCCACCCACTTTAAAACTATCTGTGGCACACTCTGATCCTTCAGTTTCAAAACCTATCCAAAAAAGGCTTTCAAATCTAAGGTTTCTATGTACCAGGTTAAAATAAAACTTCTTTCTTCCCAATTTTTTTTTTACCTTGAATTAGTTATGAAAGAACCATAAGAAAATATATCACAGCTTCTCAGCATTGTAAGTTGTCCCTTTGTAACTTGATGTGTCATCAATAATTCAGCTGCTGGAAATCTGGCAGCAGGCACAAATTTTTATAGCAAATTTTAATAAATCTGATATAATCTAGATGTTAGTAAGGAACTGTTACAATAATACTTGGTCTCATAAAGTTAATCTAGATTAAAACTATGGGTGCAAGTTTACCGTAGTGCTTAAACAACCAAGAACTTATTCAAAAAACTCTATATTTAGTTTGAGATGCTTATTTTTAAAAGGGACTAATCCCCAAAGTGCTTAAAACTGTAAGGGATCATTTCAAAACATCTCATACTGCCTCAAGTGAGCAATACCTTTCTCAGACTTGTGCCAGTGACTTTAATGATGATATGGAAATATTACAACATTATTTGAGTTGGAGATTTTTTTTTTTTTATAATCATCATAGTTGTAAGAGTTTTAATCACCTCATATTTTAAATTTCTTAAAACATCAGAAAAAATTATCTTTTTAACTTAGCACAATTTTTAACACTGCAGTATAGGTTTATAAATTACTCTTACAAGTTGCGATGCAATTGCTTCAAGGTAATTGACTTTTAACAACAACAAAAAAATTAAAGAAAATCAGTATTACAAGACTTTTTCAAAGAATAATACATCAGCTTTATGTAACAAATTCTTCTCTAAAATACACCACCGAAGCTTAACAGGAAAATACCTTCCTCCACAAATAATGAACAGTTTTGGTATAAAACTTCCCCTAAACACAGTACAAAAGCTTTATGGGTAAAAAGTCCCTCATAGGTATAGTAGAGAGGTTTTATGGAAATCTCTCCTCAAGATACAGCATGGAACAAAATTTTCTAACGGCCCAGAAGAAAAACTACAAGAAACAGTGGTGCAGATTTTAAAAATCATGATTAAGTAACAGTACAGGACAAAATTTTTTTAAACTTTAGAACATGTATTCAGAAGAACTTACCCCTGCCACTTTTAATCACTTTTCTGCTCCCATTTTCTCCTTCATCTTCAGAGCCTGTTTAAAATTAAACATTTTTTACTTGTTAATATTTTAATTTTAGATGTGAAGATTAAATATGAATACTCAAGTTTGTATCCCCAAACTAATGACTATTTAAGAATTCTTTCACTTTCTAATGTCAGTATTATGAATTTTCAGCATAAATATTAGACAATGGGCAAAGTACTCCAATCATGTGTGATAAGGCCAACATTTATTAGCCATCACAAAGCTTTAAAACGTCTAGTACTGGAGTCCTCCAATACTTTTGATTTCAGTGCATTTGAACATGTTTCAGTCTGGTCCTTTTTTTTTGTATCTTTCGTTCTTTGGATTTTGGCGCCTTAACTTATGTTTCATTGTGGTCCTCTTTCTTTTGCTTCACTCTTACTTTGAACTTTGGAAATCTGGAAATGTTTTTTATATTCATCTTCCTCGCACTTAACATATTCTCTGGATTTTTGCATTTAGGTAATCTTCTGTGGGATCCTCTTCCCAAACTTTAAAGTGCTTAGAGTCTTTAATTTGAAAAGTGTTCAAACAAACTGTTACAGAATTTTATACTGATATTTCTTTTTTACTATAGGCTTTTTAATTGTATTCTCTTTTAGCAAGACTGAAAGACAGAGGTTACTCAAACAAAAAGATGATATATAATGCTAATAGCAAATTGGTGATTCTAATTAATTTCTTTATAGACTCGGATAACTTTGACTGTAATAAAAGGTCCTAAAAGGGAAAGCAAAAGGCAGTTACAAGCACCATAACATGCTTCAGATCTAATACCTTTAGTCAATATTCACAATATCAAAGGGAAGGGCACTTTTTAGTCCCGAAACTAAGAGCCAATGGCTAAATGAACACTTTTTGGTGATTTATTGTCAAAATTATCCATCCATTCCAGGCACTGCACTAGCATATTTATAAATAACGAGTTGTCACAACATAGCTATCCTGTGCAAACTTTGTAATATAATGCAAACGTTTATAGGCATAGGTGATAATTATATAACAACTGCTATGGAATTTCCTGGACATGCCACGAGCCTTGAGTGGGAGTTTGTTCAAAGCTTGTGGCATTCACAGGAAATTTTACAGCGGTTGTGTACAAGGTAATAGCTCTTCATGGTGCAGAGAGGTAAGTAGCATTTCTGAATAAAGTTTTGTTACCATGATGTTGACTATATTTAGGAATAATGTCTGCTAAAGGATGGAGTTGCAAAAAAAAAATAAGAATTCCAAAGATCAAAATATTTGTAAAACTATGGTCAAGGTTTTAAGTATTTTTCTAACACTAAATTTCTGTTTGTTTGCAGAGCAACATTGTGGCACAGTGGGGCAAGAAGGGTTAAACCCAAGTCTGAGAGACCAGTGACAATAAGTAAACCATTTCTATTGATAAACTTCCAAAGAAGAATAAACCTTGTTAAAAAGGGCATCTCCTGAGAAGTCAATCACTGATGTTGAGTGATGGACGACACAAAAGCTAGGTGTAAAGTCGAAGAACGTCCACTGCTAGATGAAAAATCTCCAACCGAGACTGACGTAAGAGAGATGGCCAGACGAAAATGGGAAGAGGTTGACACTCCTTAAGATACTGGAAGAGTGGAAACCAAGGCTGACCTAGGCAATGTGGTGCCACTAGAAGAACTCGAAAATGACATGGAGTGAATCAGTTCAAGAGCCTTGGATAACAGACAAATCAGAGAGAACGCATAAAGATGAAGACCCGTCCAATTATAGATGAGAGCATCAATGCCAAAAGCCAGAGTGCGAGGTACAGGAGACAAGAAGGATGGGAGGTGAGAATTCCAGTGTGTGGTAAAAGCATCAATCTGAGGCATTCTGAGATGAGAGTAGATTCAACAAAAAACTTAAGAATGAAGCTTCCATTTAATGGAAAGAGCTCTGTTGGGACAAGAAAACTGGTCGGCCAATAAATTCATTACATCTGGAACATGACAAGCAAGAAGGACGATTTGATGTTTGTGTGCCCAAAAAGAGAAGATCCAATGTTTGAAATTAAAGAGATCTGGAGTGAGTGCCTCCTTTCTTTGAAATGTATGAGATGACTGTGGAATTGTCCGAGTGAAGCATTACCACCTTCCCTCACAACAATCATAGTTCTGCCACGTGTCAGGAAAGGAGAAAGTAGAAGCCAGTTGTCCATGTAATCGTGAGTGTGAATGCCCAATGAGTGAAGATGATGTGAAATGGATCTAACTATTCAGAAAAAAACATATGGGGCATACGTGAGGCTGAATGGAAGAGCATGAAACTGAAAAACCTGGTTGTCATGCATGAAACAGAGATAATGTTGTGAAGATTCTGGGATTGGAATATGAAGGTGGGCATTGGCAACATAGAATTTTGTCATCCAAAGACCTATTCAAGGCTCATAAGCACAAATTGGGTCAGTAAACAAAAAAATACAGTTAGGCCTCTTATAATGAGTGAAAAAGAGTCACTGACGAGAAAGACACTAATATAAACTGAAGAGGCTGGAGGAAGCAACTGAGATGAGAGGGATCAACGACAGGTTGACAATTGCCTGTCTTTTTTGGTACTACAAACAGCCAGGAATAAAAAATGACATGCTCTATGATCTCTTTGTGCCAAAGATCCTGAATGGCTTGAGCTCGATAGCAGGATGTAAGAGACTCCTTTGGGAGTAGAAAGCCAACTGGTATGAGAGAGAATGAAGGAGGAGACATGACCTGAATGACCAATCCTTTTCTGAGAACTTGAATGACTCACTGATTTGTGCTGAAGGTCTCCCATACTGACACAAAACCTCTGAATCGAGTCCTCACAGGACCTGACCCTATAAGGTAGTCACTGATGCCGTAGTCTGTACTCCACACCAGAGGAGGATACCCACTGGTAAGGTCGGAATCACCCTCGTGTTCAAATGGATCATGGCACCAAAGATGGAGGCCTGGAAACTCAAATGGAAAATGCAGGAAACCATCCTGTAGAAGATCTTTGGGACAGTCGAGAAGCTAGGGTAGAAAGGGAAGAGTGGAGAAAGACCACATCCATTTCAGATTCCATGTATGATAATTGGGAATACCAGCAAAAATAGACTGTCTCAGAAAAGGAGATTCTCTGAGATCTCTAAGGGTCGAAGCAGGAAGGCGAACTCCCTCCAGCAGGGAATTTTTCTCGAAAAGACCCCAACATTAAAAATTTGGCGTATTAGTTACAAAAAAGGTGCAGGAGACAGAATGTCTGTCCGAGGCTTATGATTAGCTGTCTGAGCAAAGGAAAGTGACAGGAATATAGTCTAAATTCTGACTATTCTGCTCCTGATTCTCTGCAAACTCAGCCTCAGAGCCAACAGGAGAAAAAAAATCATATGCAAAATATCAATTCTTTTTTTATCAAGTCTTAAGGTTCGTAAAGCAAAGTTTTTCTCGTGCCTTTTTTTCTTTTGGAAAGGTTGCCTATCTAACATGCAAAGTCATTTTAATTTTGAAATTAAATATAAATTAATGTGTCAGAAAATTTTCAAATTTCACATGCGAAATCTCTATAATGTCCAGATTAGTTATCTAACATTTCTTAAGAAAAACATTTATATTTTATCTGTTATTTTCAGTAATGAATCACTGTATGGATTTGGTAGATTTATCTGATTATGCAACCACCATAAAAAGTAGGAAATAAAATAAATTATGCTTCTTTCATTCTAGAGTGAACACAAGTTATAACACAAAAACATAAATGTTTAGACGAAATAGCTTAAATCTCATAACATTATACATTTATACATATTTATTATTTTTATTATATTGACCTTTAAGTTATGCTTGGCTAACAATACAGAAGTTACAATGACGTGGCACACGTGCACTAATGTTACCATATCCAATAACATAAAACTGACCTTTGGTCTGTACAAAGTAACTTGTCTTGGCTGTGTTTTATTAGACTAGTATTTTGTAAAATACAGTAACATTTCAATTATTATACATTATTTATGTATATAAAATATTGCTATTTTGAAATACGTTCTTAAACTTATTTTTCTTAAAACATAGAACAGTAAATAAAGAAGTAAAGCAAACAATTATCTCTTCTAGTTACAACCTTTGTACTCAGTTGCTGCTTGACGTAGGTTGCTACACCTTTAAAAATTTTGCACATGGAGGATACGAAACAAAATATTTTTTTTTAGGTTTTATATACTTTTTAATAACTAAAAAATCATAAATTACTACATCAATACCATAGAATTCTATTATAATTCATCAAGCTTAGTAACTAAGATGTATTTTAATCTAAAAAAATATGAATTTTGAGCAGACTAAAGACACACCCTACCTCATTGAAATATTGGTTCAAAAGAAAGAAATGGCATCCAAGCCTGTTAAAATAGCTGAGAAAACCACTAGGGGGAAATTCTGAGCTTCTGACTGGTTATTCATTTCATATATAGAAGTAAATGTATATAAGGGAGCATTTCCAAAAATGGAAAGAGGTGGGTGGGGTGCTACTGTGTTTGATTTTTTACATGAACAATCTCTTAGCAAATAGAAAAGATAAGACATTCTTATTTCATATTCTAGATTATCAATATCAGTAATACGAGTTTCTGATTTGTACGAAACTATAGACTTAGTATTGACTTCACAAACATCTAATTTGAACTAGTGCTGCATTCATCATACCATGAGACACACAAAAATCTATGTTTATCTGTGTTTTTTTAATATTTATTTTTAAATTAAGAAGTTGAGTAATGTATAGTACTAAAATTTGAATTATAATCTACAGTTTGATATCAAACTTACTGACATAAATTCATGAAATAGTAGTTAATAATATTTTGAATGCGAGTCAACAAATGAGATGACATGGCCTTTCACTCATGACCCATCTCAAAACGGTTAATAAATATTATTTAATGTTGCATAAGTAAGTGCAGATCAAGGATGGAAGGTTTTAACCCTATGCCATTTTTTCATAAATTAATAAAAAAACAGCCAGATGTCATACTACCATACAGTATCGTGAAAAACATCATGTGTTTCTATTTGATTGGCTATTATCTATAATAACAGCTTCTTTGGGGTTTTTCTGAAATCAACACAGCTAAAATCTCCATCAATTCAGTTACGATCTTAGCCAATAACTGATTATTTCTAAGCTGATACAAATATATTAACATCAATTGAATGTTGCCACAGCAAATTTTCATACCTTGCTTTTTTCCAAATACTCTAACAATGTGTCTAGACTTTATAGATTTTTTTTTCATATAAGTTAGTATTGTTTAGTGCACTCGTAGTTCTTATAAACTTGTTACACAATCAATTTTTCATCTAAGTTAGTACTGTTTAGTGCACTCGTAGTTCTTATAAACTTGTTACAAAATCAATTTTTCATCTAAGTTAGTATTGTTTAGTGCACTCATAGTTCTTATAAACTTGTTACAGAATCAATTTTTCATCTAAGTTAGTATTGTTTAGTGCACTCGTAGTTCTTATAAACTTGTTACAGAATCAATTTTTCATCATACTGAATTTAGAATTCTTGCGAGAAAGATGTTTATTGCATTGTTGGTGTCTAAGACAAATGAAAATACAAGTAGCATAAATGTATAAGTAACAACTTTAAAATAAAAAAATTATAACAGGCATCCTGTTTACCAATGCTATAATTTTATTTCTAAATATGATTATGTAAATTATAACTATTTTAATTTCAAATTAATTTCAAAAAGTGAAATGTTTGTTATCAACTGTTTTATTCTTATATCAATTACATTAATAGAAATAAAGATATAAGGTTTAAAATCACTGGATTATAACCTGACTGAACTAATCATTTACAGAATATATTAAGGTTATTTTAGTACTATTATAGTCAACATTAATTAATCCAAAATGCCATATTATTACTGTAGATGTCTCTTCTTTCATGCAAAAAATACTGAAAATTTGGTTACAGTGTTACACATCTAACTTTTAAAAAGTTAACTGGTATCACACCATCATTGTAAAATGAAACATTACTGCAGTTAGAGAGGAAAAGTTAAATGTTGTTACTTGTTAATACAATAATACTATATTATCTGAATAGTTTTATTTTATTCATTCCCTAATCATAACTATCAAAAGTATTATTTTACAAAATAAATTGATATTATTCAAAAAATAGAGTAAACAAAACAATACAATTTTTTGTAAACCTGACATGCACAGATGAACTTACCAGAGTTAAGCTCCTTAACAAGTGAGGACATAGCATTTGTCACTGAGTCTGCTGCTACAAGGAGATCATTTGGAAGACATCGAGAACTTCCTGACTGGCCAAATGCTAACCGCACATCTCCTCCAACACCAGTAAGACTGTCTGTGGTAGGAGCCCCACTACCTGGGGTAGTAGGTGCACTCCGTGAGGAAGACAATGGATATACCGTAGATAATGGAGGAGATTTAGAGGTGCCAGAATGTGGAGAACTGTTAGGAGTGGAGCGAGGAGAAGACTGGTGGTTCTGAAATATCCATAAAATTGATCAAAGTAATTACACAATCAACAATAAGTATCAAAATTATAAATAACTAGGGTAATAATATGGTTATTTTGGAACATCTGCAAAGACTACTGACATAGGCCAGCAATGCTAATATAATATTAAACATTTCCAAAAAATATTATTCTTACCTATGGATGTTACTTAAAAGTCTAGAGAAAATTAATTCTGTAGAAAATTTAACATCTCTAACTCTTGAGAGCTCTTCTACATCCATTAATATCAAATTTTTCACAATTTTGAGAATGCCACAATTACTACTACTATTTATAGTCAGCATAATCACTTAATTATTGAATGTTTCATTTTTATGTAAAACTGATCAGTAATAATTATATCAAATTGAATATAATAGGAAAATATAGTGAGCATTAGGTGACCAAATAGGGTAAATATGGATTTCAGTGTAAACAGTAACAAATGCATTAAATGACCCATTAGGGCAACAAAGAATTTCAAATGAATAACAAGGATGTGTTTAATTAGAAGTGAAAATCCAAGACTGAAATATTAGATAGTAAAATACATGGTTCACTCTATTATTATAAAACATATGTTATTAAATCAACAAGTTGGAAAGATGTTTATGAAGTTTAAAACACAGTTGTCAGAGAGTGGATGAGATATTGCATGCCACATCCAAGAAAGAGTTCAGAAGTGAAGAAATAATGGAATCATGAAAAGAAATTCAACTCTAGAAAGCAGATGCTCATATTAGAAGAACACATGCAGGCTGGAATCTAGGCATGCTCGCAAAATACAGTCATTATACCAAGAAGTATATGCCGAATTCTAAGAAGCAAGAAAAACATGAATTTTAGTGACATTTGCAGGACAAGAAAGGTGTGATAGTAACATGTGCAAAACAATTGAGCCAAAGCTGGAATCATGTGCTCCAGTTATCATTTTGGTTCTGCTTGGAACAGTACCAACATCCTGTCTGCTGACTATAAAGATTGAGGTCTAGAGATAGTGAGAGTGGTGCAGCTCAGTCCAGACTGTTGACGTTTAGTTGAAGAGTTCGATTTCACCGCCTAAATGGCCATCTGAAGTTGTCCATATTAGTTGCTATACAGAGCACCACCTTCCAAGCTTCATGTAAATTGCATTAATATTCTATTAATGTAGTATTTCTATTACGTCAGTAGAATTGGCAAGAATCGAGTTAATTCATAAACTGGTAAACGTGCTTGAGATTTTGGTATTTTAGAAGAATTGTTAAAGGAGTACCCAACTTGTTAGAAAAAAAACATGTATGTATGTATGATATATGTTTTCATGTTACTTCACTTTCTGAGTGTATTTTTACATAAAGTTTCTTAAGTTGATGACTTGTAAGCCTAACCCATGACAGCATGAATATCCTGGAAATGAATAAATTCATTTGCAACAAATGAAAGTCACATCCACAATGAAACTGCTCTTTACAGCAAGATGTTAAAGCACAGAAAATAATTAGTCTTTTTAATGTTAGCAGGATGTTGAAACATGGTAGGTAACTATAATGATTATAAAGAAAACTTCATATCTAAAATTATTATATTTTAAAATGTATATGTCATAGGGGAAATACACTTTACCAGAGTAACAGTGGAAATCAGAAGTTTTGTTCAAGAAAGTCTTGACATAGTACAGTTTCAAAACTGTCACAGAAGATTTTCAGTATGCTTTTCATCATTCTCACTCAGGATATAAAGCTTATCCCTAAATGAAGCTACAACAAGCATAATTTTTTCTGGACAGCAGTCACTGATCCTCACTATGTAATTCACACTGACAAATACTTTATACAAATCACCAATCTCATGTTGGTGAAAGGGAGAAAAGTGAAATACAGGCAGTAATAGTTTGCAAGAAAAACAATTTAAGCATGCAGCATAATATGGTTTTGAAATATCCTGGGCCATGTCCAAACCTTTCTGAATAAATCTTATTATTCTCAATGTGTCATTGATAAAATCTATTACTCTAAAAAAAACAAACAATTCCTAGGATGTAATATACTAGCAGATGTTAAAACTTAGTAGGACACTTGATCTTTGACATTGGCAGATGATAAAACATAACAAGCAATTAGTCTTTTTACATTATCAGATGGTAAAATACAATAGATAACTAGTCCTTTAGATGGTAAAAGTAAATAAATATTTTTATGTTAGCAAATACTCTAATACAGTATGTAGCTAGTTCTCTAGATGCTAGTATAGAGACACCAGAAGCAAATTTACATTAGTGGGTAGAGAACCATAAAGAAATAAAAACTTCCACCGACATGGAAAAAAGGGTCAAAAATGAACATTTAAACTTGTAACTAGTTTTAGGGGTACACACCACAGCTACCAAAATATAAAATTTGATAGCTCAACTCCAATTCTGTCAGTCCACTATTACATTTTTAAAATAAATGTTTCATTGTACAACAGGAGTGGTGGAAAGAGAGTGAGCTTGCTGAGGCTAAAGCTACCCCAACATGTGCTTTAGCCTCAACCATAGCTTCTGCATCCAATAAAAAGATCATATGCTTTTTTTCTTTATCTGGACTGTGTTGGAAACTTTCATCTACATGTCTGTACACTTGAATAGTGGCAGCAATAATGGCAATACTTAACAGTTAAGTAATAATGGTGGGGCATAACATCGTTCAATAACAAAGATATTCAAGATGCTTTGGAAAAAACTTTACTAGCCAAATTATTGATAGGGAAAATTAGTTCCTGCACTATTGTAATAGAAAGTAAACAGATTTAGCTAATAACTTCTACTTTATTTTACTCATTTAAATAATTCATTGTGCTAATTGTGGCTAACAAATTGTTAAGTTGTGCTAATGTCTATGGGTCACATTAATTAATATGTTCATTATAAAACCATCTTATTGATTGACCTGTGCAATGTTTAGTAACTCACCTTTATAAGAATGTCATTAACAAAGACACTGATCTGTTATATAGAATAAGAATCATATTTGTAAACACAAAAGACACTTCCAGTTTGACCTGTGGTATCCAGGAATTGTTGAACTAATTAGTCAGTTTAGAGCACACTATCAAGGTATCATTACCAGTCATCAACTGGTATAGTATTTGGCATAAAGATGGTAAAAAAAAAGTTTCAAATTCAGTTGTAACTCATACTAATTTCTAAATTAGACCAAGATTAGTGACATCCTAACAAATATAAGGTTACTGGTTGAATCATGAACAGTAAATAACGAACTTCATAAGTATTGCAGTATACTATTTGTAACCAACAGTATCAAGTGGCCAACTAAAGGTAGAAGACAGAACTGACTAACTATTAATGGTCAGTATCAGCAGAGTGATCAGTGTTAACATTTGACTAACCTTTAGTAGCTTCATTAGACCCTCTAACTGCACCATAAGTTCCCGTCGACTTTCTTGGAGGTTAGATAAATGAGTCTCCAGTTCAGCCTTACGCTGCCGCAAAGCTCTGAGTTCAGCTAATAAGGTGGGGTTTTGTTCCGACTTCAGAGCTGCATCTTCCTGTTCTTGCTGCTTACGTAACCTCATGATCTCACGCATTATTTCCCTATTTACAAAATAACATTTACTTTTATTAAGAAATTAGATACTTAAACCAGCATTTTTAGTTAATATCACACTACAACAAAAGGAACTCTACTTGCCATATCCTTGTAATTCAGTGGGTTTTACTTGTTTAATTATAGGCTCACAAACCTATACTATATTTTTTGAATGTTAACACTACCTGTTTTTGGCTTCTAACTGAGATATCAATTCTCGTTGTTTCAAAATGTCCAGGTTAAGGCTCAAGTCTGATGGGCTTCTTGTCTGTTGAAGAGATAATCAAAATACTTCTCTAAGTTTTCAACAACATGCAAAGTCTATCAAATATGTAAAACAAGACAAAAAATTATATTTACAGGGATACTATTGTTGGAATTATAAGTATATCACAAGAATAAGTTGTAAATATTTATCACCAATCCTGCGATCTTAATACATACAAAGATTGGAATTACACAAATCTTATAACTTAAGCACTTCATGCCTCGAACTTACAGTAGGCTGAGTACCAGCAAGTTGAGCAGCATATCTGGCTATAAGACGATGCTCATCATCAACTCGGGAAGACTCTAGACTTAGTGTGTGTCGCAAAGGGCTGTCAAAATGTTAAGACAAAAATGGTAGAAAGTTAAAACAACATGCAGATGGGCTTACAAAAGATATGCCCAAACAAAGTACAAGATAAGAAAAATACTAAATCTAATTAATTGTGTGGTTTCAGTGGGTGTGAAAATGTAAATTAAAAAAGAAAAGTACAGAGTAACAACAATGTACAGAATTTAGACTTATTGTGGTTTCTAGAGGGCTTTCTGTAAGTACAGGCAAATAAAAAGTTTTTCTTTGTTGTTAAGCGCAAAAATATACAATGTGCTATCTATATTGTGTCCACCACAGCTATCAAAACCCAATTTTTGCATTATAAGCCTTCAGACTTATTGCTGAGCCACTGGAATGCTTGGCAAAAAAAGTGCAAGGTGTTACAGAACAAGTTACACAAGCTAGAATATTTTCTACAAATTACAATGTCAGAAAAAAAACAAAAGTATAAATTACATCTTAATCTCACCATTTTACCCACAGATCAATCTAACGTGTATATGATATAGCTATAACTAAATAAGATTTTCAAAAAATATGTATAAAACTAACAATTTATATATACCACTGACTATCAAACCAATCAGGTTACTTACAAATACAAAAATTACTAACCTTTTAGTGACTGAACGACTGTCCAAAGAGGAAAGATCATAAGAATTATTTAAGTCAAATAGTCCATTCCGGCTTGGTATAGGAGAAGGTGGCCTAGAGAACAATAGTACCACATAACACTTAACATTATATATTAAACTTCTCTTCAAGGTACAAAACTTAACCTTTTCAATAGTGCTACATTATATTTGTCCTAACATATGTTTGTGCAGGATTGGTGGCACACATTTATATCCATTAAAATATTTTGGACGTGGTACTCCAATCCTTTTGGTGTATTCTAGGTCAGTTACATCTTGTATAGTTTCTATTTTAAGAATACAAAATTCATACTGAAAGTGTTAAGCACTACAAAACACATCAAATGTCTGTTGAAAATCTAATACTTAACTACAATAATGAACACATAAATCTTCTGTTAAAGGTTTAATTTTTGATTTCTTGTTTGTTTGTTCTTTTAGAGGAAAGCCACATTGAGTTATCTACTGCGTCTACTGTAGGGAATTGAACCCCGATTTTAGAGTTGTAAGTTCATAAAATTAACACTGTCTGACTAGGGAATTTCTACAGAACATAGCAAACTTCAGTAAATGCTATGGACATGGGTGAGGGGTGAGTCAAAATGTGCATGTCACTACCTTTCTAGAGTTATATTCAACATTTAATTAAGCTACCTCATTAGTAACTTGTGTCAATCAACTTTGCATTAAAACATAGATAATATAAAAATTTGAGTTATAAACTAAGTTTTAATTTCTTAATTTCAAAAGGAAATATTTAACACCTGCCACATGAGCCAGGCCAGAATCTTTTAGCCTAGGATGGTCAACAGATGTGTGTGTGGGAGGGGGGGGGTCATTCCAGAAACCTGTGAGTTAGGATTATTTTAATAGTTCTCAATGAATGGAGCTTGGCACAGATTTTAAAATGAAAAAAATAATTGAAAACTACATATTAATGAAAATATAACATGATGACATCTATGTGGGTTATACTATGGTGGTACCATACTGGGCATTATACCATCCTTCTTATATTCACTCTTCATTGCAGAAATAGCATTTTCAATTTGAGAAACACCAGAAAAATCATCTTCTAATTCATCTTGCATCTGCTTTAACTTCAACACTGTATTTGTGGGCTTCACTGTGCTATTAGTTTCACAAAATATTGAAACTAAGGATTTCTTATATATGATTCCAATCCCTATTTTTTTGAAGATAATGATACTATTGTGCCCATTGTTTTACATTTTGCTGTCAATGCAGTAATTAACTGAGAAATCTCCAATTCAATTGGTTTTTAAAATCAATTGGGATATCTTTGAAAAAGTTCTTCAATCATCCAATCTGGACCCACGATTTGGCTTAATCCCTACACTCAAACCATCATATTCACAAGCACATCTAGAACACTTTCAAGCATGTTTCATTGCTACATTTTTTTACTATACATTTACAATTTAACTTCTCCATATTGGCTCTCATGGTCTTGGGTTGGGTCACGGGTCTGGTGTAAGACCTAGACTTTGAAAATAGTGCCAAACATCATTGTTTTGTCTAATCAAAACAGCTCAAACCTTTATGGAATGACTCACTGTTTTGCATCCACATCAAAATTTTGGGCTACCTGATGTGACAGGTGTTAAATAAATTCTCATTCTTTACTTCCCTATATTGTGTGTATGTGAAATACGAATTCTCCTTTTTTAGATTTTCTTTCCTCATATAGGTTTGGAAGTTTCCACTAATGAGATACACAAACTATAGATACCGAAAGGCCAAAAAATAAGAATCTTTTACCTTTTTACTCTAAGCTATCAATAAGTTTCTCACACTCACCACAGCAGCTCCTCCCAACTCATACTTTGAAATTACTCATTTGCTCAAACCTACTTGTCAATAGTACGTTTACAACCAACAGAAAGGACATTTTGTGAACATCATGATTCCGATGATATCCTGTTTTTGTTTTTCGAATGAAATCTACTATTTTGCAAGTAGATATTGATGTGTGTAGACTGAAGTCAATGTTATGGAGAGTAATGGAAATTTTTAAACTTATTTATGGCTTAGTTAGTTTGTTTATAGTTAAGCACAAAGCTACACAATCGGCTATCTGTGCTGTGCCCATCACAGGTATTGAAACCTAATTTCTAGCATTAGTAGTCCCCAGATATACCACTGTGCCACTGGGAGGCTTATAGGTTACTTAGAATGGCTGATAAATTATTGTAGTTTTGGAGGCACTCTGTTTTAGTGCCTAATATTTTTTCCCCCTAAAATGCAATACTGAAAGCTACAATAGTTATTTTTGGACAATGAACATAGTTAGGAAAAACGAAGGCTTAAGAAAGCTGGAACTTGAGGGCAAACCATTTTAGGGTTAAGGTAAGTGCTAAGTTTCTTGTTTTTATATATATACCCTACAGGCTCAGTTAATTCAACAGAGTTTGTGACCTCAAATTTACCTTTAGAGTTTCCATACTATAACTTTTAATATGTTTAATAATGCAAGCTTCCAGTAAACATTACAAGTCTTTTGTAGACAAAAATTCAGAACTTTTAATGAAGTATTTTAATTAGGTCATCAAGAAATTAATGTCGCATTTTGGAACACTTTCATTACCCCCCCCCCCAAAAATGTACATCACATATAATAATTAAATGAACCACCTAAACGTCATGTTAGTGTAGCCTATATAATGTGTAAAGGTTAGTATACTCTCATCCCTTATAGTGATGGCACGTGATGAAACACACATTTGGCATGTAATGCTGTTTGAAACAAGTGGGGAAACAATGCCTCTTTAGCCACAAGGAATATCAAAGAAGTTTATGGAAATGTTTTGAACATTCATAAGTGTCAACGATGGTCCAGCAAATTTAGTTCAGGTCACTTTAGCCTTAAAAACTGTGATGGCAGGGGCCAACTTGTTGGAATTAATACTGATGCTCTGAAGATGTTTGTTGAGACTAACCCAAAGCAACAGACTTGTGAAATGGCCCTGAAATTGTATGTCTCTCATGAAACAATACATAAACATCTAAGGAATATAGGAAAACTCCATAAAAAAGGTGTTTTGGTGCCTCATGAACTCTCTGATAATCATCATTTCCAACGTGTAAACTTTGCTTCATCTCTTCTGGTGCATGATGTGTGTGAACCATTTTTGGACAAAATTGTCACTGGTGGTGAAATGTTGATTCTCGATGTGAATATTAAATGCCAAAAACAATGGCTCAGTCCTAGAAAAAACACACTTCTGACCCCAAAACCTGGACTCCATCCACAGAAAGTGATGCTCAATCCACAGTGAACTGTCAATGTAGAGATTTATAGTAAGCAACTGGAACGTTTAAATCAAGCCCTTCATCAGAAACGCCTTTCACTCGTCAATTAGAAAGGTGTTCTTCTTCTCCATGACAATGCATGTCCACATGTGGCACATTTGATGCAACACAAGATTATGGAGTTTGGTTGGGAAATTCTCCCCCACCCACCATATTCTCCAGATATGGCACCATCAGATTACCGTCTTTTTCATTTGCCGCAACACCATCTTAATGGTAAAACATATGCAAATGTGTTACAGAGGACATTGATATGTTTTTTTGCTTCAAAGCCAAGTGATTTCTTTAATCAGGGCATTAATAACCTGATTGTAAGATGGAAAAGCATCATCGATAAGAATGGAGACTATTGCATTTAATAAATGTTTTGTTTTGATATATAAATTTTTCAGGTTTTTTTCATCTAAAAAAGCAACATTAATTTCTTGACAAGCTAATACTACATTTCTCCATGAATATATGAAGTGCAAAGTGTTAAGATTAAAAACACTTTTCATCTGAAAATTGTCAAATTTCATATGCATAATCTTAAACCTCCTAAACAAATATAAAACTACTTTTTAGTAAAATTTTAGTTTATTTGTAATTTTCTCTACCTTAACCCTGAATGTATTTGGTCAATTTGACCAAACTTCTTAGCCCCCATAAAAAAAAGGAAATAAATCTAAGCCTTATGAAACTCCCACCTAAAATTCACGAAATTATTAAAATGAGCCATCTTTCAAGTGCATCAAAAGGAAGCCCATAAGGCCTGACACCCTATGGAAGGGCTCATAGGAGAACACCTGTGGGAGACCACATCACACCTTAACCAGGGTATACTCTTTGCCTGAGTGAAGAATAGGGAGAGACAAGAAGCCTGAATGTGTCACAAAGACAGGCAGAATAGATACATGACCATCCAAGAGCTTGCACACAAGCTTTCTTTGAATGCCAATATGTGTGATAAAGTTGGGGCACATTCAGACTGTACCAACTGTAGGAGAAAAGCACATGTGAAAAGTATCCATACACAGCTTTTCAACCATCAGACACTAAGGGCCCATGCCAGTCATGGGAGGAGGGCACTGCAGTGGACACAAAGATAAGGATACTTATGAAACCACCACTCAACCATCAGACACTATGGGTCCAACATCAGCTGTGGGAGTAGGGTTAATGAGTGATACATCACAGTTGGATGTTAAAAAGTAGGAGCAAAAAGAGAGAAACGTGTCCAAAATCCACTTGGAAATTGTGATGTATCCAGACAGGTTGGAGGTGGTCTGTACTACGCTCCAAAAACACCTCTGCCACACTTCTCAGTGTAAGTGTAGATGGACATTGTGTTTTAGCACCCAATTGGTGAGGATTCTTCACAGTCCCACACCCCAACAGCTGAGAGCTGGTAAGTGTCAAGGGTCTTCCATGCTCTGCTCAAAAGGGGAGAATTCATATAGGGGAAATCCAAAGAATGTGTCCAGATCCCCATCAGTCCAGAAAGGTCTTTTTATTGGACTGAAGCAAGTGCTAGCCAGAGAAGCAGACAGAAACACAACTCTCATGCTGGCTCAGACAGGAAAAAGTTATATATAAATACCACAAGTAGAATTCTAGTGGCCTTGTGGAACACCCCATCTCACAGCAGACACTGACTGGGTTAGGGTGGATGGTCTGAGCACTTTCCATTATCCTGGCCCAATGGAGAATTTTGGGTGATGATGCACTGTGAGGCAACACTAGCTGCTTAGTGAGATCCAAAAGTAGAAGAACAGTAGGAAGGAATAAGTAAACAAATATTCACACCCATTACAGGTGCAGTGTTAATTGAAGAATGGCCCTTAATGAAAGTCTGTATGCTACTGGAGACGAGACAGCTAGATTATGGAAACAGTTAAATGTGAGACGACTGATTGTAAGGTAACTCACATGCCAGCCCAGAGAAAAGGGGGTGGATTAAGAGAGCATACAAACATCTGCCATCAGAGGAGCATAGACAAGTCATATGAGCTGGCAGATTCAATCTATGATGGGGTAAGGAGAAAGGCCCCAGGTAGAGGAGGTGTCTCAGTTACAAAAAGATAGCGAAAGAAACCATAATAAAGAAGTGTGTGATAAACACTGAGCAGCCCTGACAGGACAAGTGCTTCTTTCTGGAAGAGAAATAACACCAAAAAGAAAAATTGAAAGAAGGGATATAGGAGAAAAGAGTGACCACTTCCCCTTTCCATGGAAAATGAGAAAACGAAAGACTAACCATGAGAAAAGAGAAAGGAAGAGCAGCAAAAGAAAGTTAGAGAAAACAAGGGCATAGATTATGCATACAACAGCTATCAAGAGGAAGTAGGAATAGGACTTATGAGTCCAGAGAGAGCAAAAAATCTGCTAAAGGTTCAATAGGGACTTGGGAAGAGCTTGGAGAACCACAATCAGGCACGAAGTAGGAGGGGGGCAGTGGTTAAGGAAAGAATGAAAGAGGGTAGAAAGAGGTAGCAAAAAAGGGAAACTGACACTATGAAAGGCAGAAGGTGGAGTGTGGAGTAAACCCCACCCTAAAACCCAAGATAGAAGAGACTTGCAGATCATGGGAGAACCATCCCATGAAATAGGAGGAACATGTTACAACATAATGAAGTCAAAGGGAATGGTGACAAACAAGACCAAGATGATAATTATGTCCCATAGGTCAGCACATGAAAGAGGAAGAAGGGTGACAGGAGTGGGGTTAAAGAACAGCGAGGTAGACTGGGCAATCCTAATCATAATGAGAAAGAGATGTCATATCCTGAGGAACAAGCAATGTGTGAGAGTGGATCAGAAGGGAGAAGACAGGGCTACTAAACAGTACCTACCATGTGTACATGCTAAGGAGTGATTAACTATGATGAAACATTATCTTCTAGTAAGGAACCATGACTAAACAATGTATTATGTGTGTTATATGGGAAGAAGTAACAACTAGAAATAAATATTAACATTTAAGTATACATGTTTAGAATAGGAAATGTTTTTTTAAACATCAACTGTTGGGTATATATATGGAAAGGATCAATAAACCATATCCAAACACAATATTCTGAGTGGGACATGATAAAAAGAAATTAATCGTCTACATTATCTTTTATGGGTACAAGTAAAGGAGTAATGAACTATGGCAAAACATTAACTCCAATAACTTACATGTTAAGGAGTAATGAATAATGTTAAAACAATATATTCTATGTTGATATGGAGTAAGAACCAAAACTAAATCTTAATAAAATAAGGATGTGTTCATGGCAAGGAATAACTTACCAAGACTAAGCATTATCTTCTATGAATAACAGAAACATAGAATAATAACACCCAAAGAGCAATGTCCTATAACTATCATAAATTTTCTGGCTTTCTAATTATGCAATAAGAGCCTTCAAAAAATTCAGCGAAGCTAGTCATTATGATTCCTGTGAGAACAACTTTGAAACTGAACCAGGAAATAAACAATTCTCTCTACAGAAAACAATGTAATATAATATGTCATTTGATAAATTACAAAACATTAGAGAAAACTACTAGCAATTTGTGAAAGAGGGGATGTGACAGGTGGGTGTGGCAAGTGGTTCTGATTTTCTAGTTTATGATTCTGTAAACAAATAAATTTGAAGACTATAAAAATTATACTTTGCCTGAATGATATTTATATTATAATGTGTAATTTATGTTAAAATCTTTAATTCTCAGAGGAGTGAAAAATAAATTAGAGAAGAGGGAAAATCTAGAGAGCAAATGTCACATTTCTCATACTAGGGGAGATTGAGGTTTTTTTTTCAAATATTTCCTTATAAAATTACGTTGCATTTTAATTGTAACTCTAAAAAGTTATGACATGTTCAATTTGACCTATCCATAGCAAGATGGTTAAAACTTTAAATCTTACATTATTTTCTCTATCCTAACACTATATGGACTCAGTCCATTTGATCAACCTTGTAACCACCAGCCACCATAAAAAAACAAAGATGAAATAAATCTAAATAACTCTTTCTTCTTTATAGAAATGACTGCAGATAAGAGAAAATTACATTTATTTATCCTAAACTGCCTCAGGCTCATAGCAATTTGTATCTATTTTTATTTAATTTTTATTGTTCTATTGCTTTTGAACTATGTCTAACAACTAAACTCAAGTAACAAGCTGTAAAAAATACAGCAAACATGTAGCTCAAGTTACAGTATTGACTTATATAATATATGTATAACTGGTATGCAGACATCAGTGAGAATTTTTTTTAATTATGTTTTCTTATCTAACCTAATAAGTTTCTAATTTTTATATTATACTTACTTTTAATGACGGTAAATCAAAACATACGTAAAAAACAAAAAATTTAATACTCACATCTGGTCTAATATTTTTGCTCTCAGCCTCTGACAAACTTAACCCTACTTTTTTGTAACGATGGTAGTAGTACATAAAATAACTTTTATTTCATATAACTAAGAATGCAAAACAATAACATTCACATACCATGCAATGTCCTATAACTATTATACTTTAGCTGGTTTCTAACTAAGTAATATGTACCTTAAAATAATTCACTTACATGGCCAATGTGAATTTGGCAATACCTACAAACAATCTGTAAGCCAAATCAAACAATACCATCAAAACAAGTTAGACATATACAGTAATAAGCAGATCAAAATATTTTCTTTCTGTTGGTTATAAATAATATGATGGCAAACTTCAGTAAGAATCATTGACAAGTTGTGAAAAACAGGATGTGACAGGAGGGTGTTGGAAATGTGTTTGACCTTGTTTATACCTACATAACCCCAAAAGACTGTAGGCTATAAAATTAGACTATAATCTATACTATAAATGTGCAATTTATTTTAAACTCGGGACATCATATCAAGGTGATAAGAAAATTGATAATGGGCAATTTGGATAAATTAACTGTCATGTGATACAGACAACTGGAAATTTATTTAAATACTTCCTTTCAAAAATAAGAAATCAAAACTTTTAAAAGTTGGTTTATTAATTACGTTTTGATGCAGTATGGAAGGTTGATGATATGTTTGACACAAACTACAATGTACTGTATGCTTACACAATGTCAGGATGATTGATATGTTTGATGCAAACTATAGTTTACTCTATAGTTACACAATGTCAGGAACACTGATGGTATGTATGAATGAAATTACAGTTCACTTTATTACTTACAAAATGACAAAAAAGGTTGATCGTATGTTTGACACATACAGTTTACTCTATACTTACACAATGTGAGAAAGGTTAAGTGTAGGCTCTGGTTCATCTGGAAACCTTGGGATTCCTTGTCCATGTTTTTCTGGCACGCATCTGAAGGATTTTCTTAGTGAATGGCTTAGTTGTTTTGTAGGAGATTTCTATTAAAAAATTTTATCACTGTATGGTTTCTTATTCTAGCTCTATTTTGAAAACTTCTGTGAATATTATGGCAAAAAAAAATCTTTTTAGAAAGATTTAAATTACAAACAAATTCATTCTAAAGCTTTAACCTTGCACTAACACAAGTACCTAGGAATCTATTTCTGGAGTCTTAACTTTACACTGATAGGTAGCATTCAGGAGTTTTAACTTTGTAGAGATATAATAATAATAACAACCTAAGTTGTTAGAACATCCTCACATTTTGAATTATTTCTGTTTGTCCTTTTGAAGTCAATATAAAACATACAGCATCTAAGTACTGTTATTGTATGTGGTATTAAAGTCAATGTGACACAATATGCTGCAAGTGCATCTATAAACACAAACTCCAACATGTGAGTATTGTTGCATTTACTTTATCTTTAGTAATGAAGTCCATAAAAAAAGATGATTCCCAGACCTCTGATTAGTTTGATGTAGCTACCCAAGGTTTATATTTTTAACTGATCTAATTAATAAAAACAGAAGAAAAGCGAGATTTGAATGTTCTCCAATAACCAGGATGTTAAAGTACATTAAATTCCAAACTGAATGTATAACTTTCTAGATCATTCATCTACATTAACCAATCATTTTTTTTTTATAGAAAGGAAAACCTGTTTTCATAATACTTATACACTGTTAACATGTCTTATGGTTTGCAAAATACCATTCCATAAAAAACTTAAAAATTAAATTGAAAAATGTATATTACAATTTCTCTCATCTCTGCCTGTTTCAATCCAACTTGTACGTAACAAAACAATGTTGCAGCTCTACTTTGTTTTTCATTTTCTTTATTCCATTTTATTCATTCACATGTAAAAAGGATCTTATATTATGTTTCAATTAAATACTACATTCATTAATATTTATTTTCACAAATGGAACTCTAGCGTGTAATAAGGCTGGTAAAATAATGGACAAATATTTTATTTATATCACTTTTATGCTTTCCAGTCAGATAAGTCTTTTTAGGAATAAACTAAAGGCTATGTAGGGAAAAACTGAGAAATATTTAGGGATAATTTTAAAAATTTACTTTGGAAAATTAGAGCAAAAATTCAATTCACACATGATAACTGACACTCATATAATAACAAAGTTTTAAACTCAAACATAAAAAAAAAATAAAACATATCACCTACAATTTAAGCTAAGTTTAGTATTTATGTCAACATTTAGAAATAAAAATATGTTTAAAACCAAAGACACGCAACCCATTCCATATGCGCTCATGGGTCGTATTTAAATATACTTGTAGTAGCTGTAAAGCTACCTATATTGGTAAAACACACATCACCTACAAATATGTGTACATGAGCACACAGTAATTTCAGCAAAAGGTGGATACAAGCTAACTAATTCACCTGAGTCTTGAATTTGATTGCACAGCAAGAAATAACAACCACCCCATACTTCTAGAAAACTTTACAATTCTCTACTCCGGAACCACTGATTACGAACTATTTATTAAAGAAAGCCTCTCCATTTTCAATGGTCACCCAACACTAAATAATAACATCAACTCCTCACTCATTAATGTAATCAATTCTGGATTCTCAATGTTTTTATTTGATATTTATTATTATTTTAAAGATACAGTGTTTATATTTAAGCCTTTCTTTATAATAGCTTCTCTTAACATTGTTATTTATCAAACATGTTTATGCCATGTTTTATCGTACATTCCATTATATTGTTACCGTTTAATTCTTTCCAAACTTTTGATTGAATATGAAAACTTGCTCAATGCTAATGTTGTTTTTTGTAGTTCAATGAATTAACTAATTTTTTTTCTTTGAGATATTAACTTTGATGATGGAGTTTAAGGAAATTCTGAAACATCTGTATTAAAGATGTTTTTTGGTATTACCATGTTTTTAATATTTAATATAAAGATAGGTTGAAATAATTTATTTTTAGTAATATAAAAGATTATTTGTATTTTCACAATCTGAATGGTACCTCATGAAACACAAGCTAAACAGCTAGCTCAAAGGACCCTTTGGTTCAAGTGTAGCTATCCCTAAGTTTGAACTTCTGTTCAAAATGTGAGCAGCCAGTCAGCATCACTCACTGTTTTGAAAAGAAATAACAGGATTGACTATCACTGTTACAATGCTCCCATAGTTGAAAATGCAAAGTTGGTTCTGCAGCTTTGCAGCATGATCCTTCAATCCAACATGGTAACCAATAGGCCAACAAACTGTTAAAATTTACTTACTACATCAAGACCTAAAATTCTTCCTTAGATGATAAAAGCAGGTTAGTTTATACCATCTGTCTGGAATGTAGATGCTGATGACAATATCTTAATCTTACAGACGATGGCTTTCTAAAATTTTATCATAAAAAACATCAACTATATTTAAATAATTTCCTGCTCAATTTCCCATTTACGACACCAATAATTACTCACAACAGGTCAAAGCTAACACCATTATCATGTCGGCAACCCAAAATGACCTAAAACAAAATACATATTTTTAAGATTTTAGAGCTTTATGGGTATTTGCAAAATTTTAGGGAATTTTGTGAAGACATAAAAATTTCAGAGTTTTAGGGCTACTGGAGATGGTGCATTCTAATAATAACAGGCTTACACAACTTCTTGATTTTTAATCTCTTAATTTTCATATCAAAATGACAAGCTCCAAACTTACATAGATTGTGTATTCTTTCATCTCATGTTGACTTGTGTGACTACCAGACACTCTACCCCTCCAGAAACAATCCTGACACAACTGATAGTTGTAACATCGTTGACACTTATACCGAAACCCAAGGAAAGATTCTCTATTGCACCCATCACATTGAACAGGGTGGAGAACTGTGAAAAAGAAATTTCAGCACACTATCTTAGCAATGAAACCACCACATCTGATGTCATAGAAGCTTAAAGGCAGTACTGTACTACTAGTGAATCTCTTCTACAACATCTTAGGTTAAATCTGTTTAATATACCAGTCAATAAGTACAAAAACTGTTTGATAAATAAAATGATTCAATATTCTCCTCTTCCATTTTTAACTTACTTTACACTTTCACAACAATTATGAAAGACAGTAACACATTTTGATCTAGCTATACGTGTTATTCTTATTTCTGAAATATATAACGATATACAGTTTTTAGTTTACACATCTAATACCATCTTTGCCATGTATCAATATTTCCAGTCTTGTTAACTAAGAGTCATTTATTCCAATAGCAAAATATTCTGTACACAGGTCTTGCATCTGTAATAAATTATTTATCTAACTAGGTTTTGAAGTCTTGTCAGAACAACAACAACTTCAGAACACTAGTGTGAGATGAGGGATTTGGTTTGACACCACCTAAGAGCAGATTACTTTCATATTCTTTATAACACATATAAAATCTTTTGTGAATTCATAACATTAGAAAGCTATCTATAGTTTTAATGTTACGCACTAAGACTAAAATAATTAAAATGTTTTAATCTAATGCCTGAAGGTGTTAAAAAAACTCATTTCCTTTGTTGAATGCATTACTCTAATGTATACCTGAGCTAAGAAATATCCTTAAAAATGTAGCTTAATCAATAATAATCAGACAGTGTTAGCATATTTCTTATTTAACTTTTCTACTGATGTGATAAAACATTACCCACAAAATCGAGTTAGTGATGTATGTCTTTGATACTAAACAGCAGCATTTCATTATGAATTATGAATGTTTATTTTTTAAAATAAATCTCACTATTTCATTTAAATAAATCTTAATAAGAGAAATAGGATTACTTTTTCCTTTCAAATGTTGTATTGTTCAAAATAGCTAAGGCATCAAAATATAGATAAAGCAAAGGATATATCATTCATATTATAATACTAAATGTATTACTTAAAACTCCACATAAAAACATTGATTTAAAAACAACAGCAAAACAAAACCCACCATTTTCTACACTACCCATTCGATGAAGCAGAGGAAGCCAAATCAAACATTGTGGTCCAGGATCAGACATCAAGGTATGAAGGAAATCATTCACTGTTACTTTTGACTGGATAGGAGAAAAAATAATAAACAATTAATCTGAACAAAGAAATTAAATCTACAACTTTTATTTTTTGCATTGTGATTACACTTTAGATGCCTTGTATGTATCAAACAACTTCATTCATCATATATAACTACAAATTAATTTTCTCTGTATCTATTACATTAATGAATTAAGCCCAAAATATGCATGTTGCTGGATAGTTCTTGGATTGTATATCATACGATAATTTCTAATTACGTAACTTATGTCACTTTCATAATTCAGTCATGTTTTTATACTTAAAGCAAAATAAATCTTTGTCTATTCTGAATCACCTTACCCCATCAAAGATAGTTCCAGGTAAACTATCACTGTATGCAAAAGTTGGAGATTCTAAAACTGAAGATGGTAGTGCCAAGGCTACTTGCAAAAAATCAACAAACTTGCTGTACACAAGATATCCACTGGCATCACACAAAAGGGAAAATACATCTATGCAGGGAACAAAAATACTAAAATATCATTATACGAGTAACTTCATTCACATGTCTGGAAACATATTTGAAGACTATTTTAATTTACTTTAAATAGATGGATCAAACCAATAGAACTTTTAAACTGATAAAAAAACATCCTAATTTTAAACAATATGTGAGCAACACACATCTAGCTGAAACATTAAAACAACAAACCTATCACAAGTTTTGAATGTATTACAGTTTTATATATTCGTCAAATGTTTAATTTTGAGCATGAATGCATTCAACTATCACAAATTTAGAAAAATCAATAACCAGGTTTGGAGTAAAGTAATCAAGTCATACAAAAAATTCAGAGTTGTTGAAGTAGGCTTTAAAGTTGTCCAAGAAAAATGATAACAAAAAAATTAAAATTTTTTAAATTATGAAATAAAATAAAAAAATTAAAATGGATTAAGAGATGCATAGTTCAGCCTACATGTAAATCCATAGAATAAATTTAAACTGTGACACTTACATCGAAGCTTATCCATTAACTTCCCCGAACACATGATACTTAAAGCAATTTTCACAGAAAAAACTCTTACTTTTCCATTGTCTTCCCTGAAAGCAAAAATATAATAAATTCATCATCTTAAAAAACTGTCTTGTACTTTAAACTGATACTTGGCATTAATACACTTGTACAGTATGCAAAAAGTTTGCTAAAGAAAGTGTAAGAGTCAGGGGAAGTGCCACATTACAAGGCTTTTTATAATTATTGAAAGACACTATACTTTATTTACAGTACAATAGATATACAGTATGATTTTAATAACAGTTTACATGTATGACGTAACATTTACTAGAACTCAATGCATAATACAATGTTAAGTTAATATACATAAATATTTTCCATCCGTACCGGTCATACATCAGCAGAATCCAGTTCAATAACAATGAAGTACACTGGTCAATGTCTACTTGGTGGCTTGCAGGCAGTCGTTTGTTGAGCTGGTAAAAGAGGGAGGATAACAATGTTTCCAGCCGAGATATATTTATTTCCATCCGAGACTCCAAAGTATTCAAACTATTTTCTCTGAAGGCTTCAATGATGTTCCAGATATCAAGCAAATTAACTACAAAAGGATTAGATTTTTTTTTGTAAATATTAAGTCCATATATATATTTCAATAGAAAACTTATTTATATCAGCTGCAATGCATTTCATTTTGTAAGTAAAATACAGGAATTCCAATGATTGTCAGAATTGAAAAATAAGCATGTTTAATTGTCAAAATTTAACTTATTATAAATATCCAATCAAAATTCAATGCTTATAGCTTTCACATAAAAGCTATGGTTGTTGGAATTTACAAACTCTGGACATTTTCCTCTCACAAAACTCATTTACAATAAAACTGTTTGAATAAGTACATTTAATAGTTTTTTATTAAGGAAATAAAGGAATTCTAAGGTCCCTACAAACCTTGAAAATATAGTGGGTTTCTGCTTGTGTTATTATTAACAAAGAATTAAAAAAACTCAAAGAAAGTACACAAATTTTTATTATTCAGTAATAACAAAAGCTTAGAATTACATCTGATAAATAAATTTATTCCCATTAATAAGTTTTTTACTTACGGTTTGTTTTCTTTTGAATAAATCGCAGCTTGCTTGCTGTGCGGTACGTTGCAAATCTGATAACATCAAAATTCTGAGCTTCTGGAAATTTAAAGAAGTGAAAAAACATTATTGTGACAAAAATGTAACTGTCTTTCATTACATGAATGTAAACCATAATATTATTAGTTTCATGAAAAACTGGCAAGTAAATATGCCATTTCCTCATTGTTTTATCATATCTGTGTAGCTTAGAAAGGTTATCTACTTATATACATACTGTCTAAGAATTAATTCCTTTTTGTTTATGTTTGAAATCATTTGTTTTACATGACCCAAAAATTCAGCTCAATAATATCCATAATCCCTATTAAACCTACTGTAATGTTACATGATGTGTTAGTAACTTTAAGTCTTAAATGTAATTAATGCCATAAACAAATTTAAATACATGAAAAGATAGTGAATGCCATTCTTCATGTGTATATAATGATCTAATACTATAAAGAATCAAACAGTGTAATTTTTTACTACTGTTTATAAATCTTATTATAATGAAGCTTGCAATGTATATGTCCAAATCTCAATCCCGGAAACTGTCGCACCTATCATAACTGGGTAATATTTTTATAACTAGGCAATTTTTTTAACTGAGCAATAAATAAAACAATTGAAATTGATATGTTTCAGATTTAACCAATAAAAATTACAAAAAATGAGTAAGTTTAAAATATAAAACAATCAAAAAACAAACTAAAAAAATATTTGTTTGTCTTTGGTGAAAATCTCACAAGTGTTGCAACAGAAAAGCAAGACACTTTCTTTGATAATTGTGTCTAAAAAGAAAAACTTCAATAAAATATACTCTGTGATGTAATGACGTGATGATAGCTCATTTTTAAACTAAAATTTCAATAAAATCCTTTTTATCACGAGTGGTGAACATTATTGAATGTCAAGTATGAGTACATTGTTGTAGAACTGTCAGACAATTCCAGAAAAGCCTACAGGTCCAATAGCCTTCTGCGGGAACTAACAGTTATACCTGCCCAGAGGGTGGGTATTTCTGCTAGTTACCTAATTTTATAAGAGTTGTATTCAGTTTATTTAATTGAATTGATCCAGAAGACATATTTCAAGTCAAAATGTTGATATTGTAAAGTAATTGTTTCTTTATCTTTTCAACAAATACACCATAGATAGTTTAAGTAATGATATTTATTATCCAGTTTATTACAATATTCCAGACAAATTTTCATTAAATATTACTAAATTTAAATAAAACACTTACTCATTTCAGCTAGCAAGCTTGGAAAATCAACACACTGGGACCCAGAACTTACATCATCTGAGAAATTACTTTCAATCATAGTTCCAGATCTTGAACACCTGCAAATTTTAAGAAATTACGAAATATTAAAATAACTCCAAAACAACAGATTTTAATGTTATATTATACACTAATAATTTTACAATATTGAAACTAAACTTGTTTATATTTTTAAGGCTAACCACACTTTTAGAGCTAGTTTTACAAATTAAATGTATGATAAATACTCTAAACCTTGTAGCTTATTTAAAATCCTAGAGACCATCTGGCTCATTTAGGCTACCCCTTTTTTACCACATACAGAACTTTTCCTTTATCTGATCCTGATCTCAAATGTTTTTCAAATCTCCTCTTAAGCTGCATCATCAATGTTGCAACATCTTCAACAACTAAAGACAAACTATTCCACAGGCTGAGCAACGTATTAGAATAAGTAACACTGTCTTAACCAGCTAGACTTGAGTCCTTCATATCTTGTGTCCTCTAGTCTTACTACCCATTGTTTATGAAAGCATCATCTGAATGTTAACATTTTTTTAAATCAAAAATGTATTTCCCATAATACTTGCCTCTGCTCTCACTACAGCTGTTACTCAACTGCTAGGGTTTCTTCACCTTTTGCCCATCTAACCAGTGGTTTGATTTTCTCTTGCTTGCTCCTGTGTATAAGCACGTCTTTTGAGACTGACCCAATCTGCAGTCCTAACACCAGCTCTTAGTAGGGAGGAAGGGCATGAAAGTGTGAAGAGAGGTGAGTATTATTGGAAATACATTTTCAATTTAAGAAAATATTAACTTCCAAAATATACTTACTTCCACCAATACTACAGCTAGAATCCCACATTGATAAGATAGAGCAGCCAGTGAGAGCATTACCCATACAGAATGTATCTACATAGATCATGGGCATGCCAATAGAAGATTAGCACCCTAATGGGGTAACCACACTACATCTAAATCATGAACTGCAGGTGGAATTTGACATGAACTGTCATCACCATTGGTCAGGCCCCAACCAGGTAGCTGAGGTCCCACTGCTCAGTGTTGTAACTATAGGGCTATGGACCACAATAGATATATTTGTGAGTGGGTCCCAACCTGTAGCTATGGAGCGATGCATTCTGAGCCACCAAAATCACAATTAGAAGGTAAGCAACACCAAAGAGGACAAATCTTATCAACCTGAAGAAGTTCAAAAGACAACACCCCAAACATGGAATGACAGGATCTTGTATGTTATACTCAACCTGAGCAAACAGAACTCATCTGGTCTAGAATTATGAACACTCATCCTCACTCCCCAATAACTGTGTGGGCAAGAAATAATTTCATCTGCCCCAGGAATTATGGGGAGGACATTGAACAAATGGTGCTCAACCAAGAACCCAGGATGGGACAACTCTGCATTTGGAATTATGAGGAGACAATGGATCCTCTTCCATGAACAATGTATTGAACCCATATTGATCAAAAAGAAGAGCCATGCTCAACACAACAGAACAGTTGAGCTTCAAATCTGAACTGGTATTACGAGTAGACTCCTGTGTAGGCTGGTGCTGCTCCTATCAACATCTGAAAAAAAAACAAAAAACATCCAGGGTCCCAGGTAGGAATGCCCCCAACTTTTCCCTTTCTCTATGAGTGGAGGAAAGTCACTCTAACACTCTGGAGGAATAACCACTATCCACCACTCCAGTGACTGGAAACTGTGAGTAGTAAGGACTCCCTAGCTACACTAGTAGAATATGGAGGGGAAGGGAGATGTGTACTAGGGAGTCCTGAGGAACAATGCTCTGGAAACTGTGCAATAGGTGAACTAATTTTTAAAAGCAAATGACACTGATTTAGTCAATCCACTGATCAGCAGGGATGCACAGGATCCCCTTATGCTTTACTCATGATAGTCCATGAGTGGCAGTCCAGAATAGTACAGTGATACCACCCAATCTACCTCTAGGTGGTCTTATGGAACCCCTCATTTCTACAGAGCCTGTTGCAATCTAGATAAAATATATTATCTTAATGGTGTTCCACATGTCCAGAAATTCTCGGAGCTGAGCCCCCACAAACTCGAAAGAAATATGGTAGTCACTGCCACTGCTGACAGCATTCTGACCAAGCTGAGGAACTTCATGGATATGGGTAGAATCTATTTTGGATACCCATGAACCAAGGGGCTGATGTCAGGGGTCTGGACACTAGAATAAGGGTGAAATTATGACCTCATGTAGGAGCCGAGGAAAGTCGAGAAGCCAATGACAACAGGGATGAATGCAGATGGGTGACATCAACCCTCAAATCCAAAGACTCTGGAATGCCCGCAAAAATCAAGGGTTGGAGAAAAGGGCCTCATGTAACTCACGAAATGTGGCAGCAGATAGACAAACATCTTCCAATAACTCATCTCTACCCAACAACATACCAAAAAAAAAAGTGCAGAAGCTGGCAATTGAACCAAGGAGGATGATAACAATGGTCCCAATATGTCATCAAAATGATGTGGCAATCACCAAGATGTTACCCAAAAAAAGGTTTCAGGATGATAAATATCTCAGCATTGTACTTAGGGTCAGACAAATCCAAGAAGATTGTGATATACTGATTGACCACAGACTCCGTTCTGGAACCCCACATTTCCAGGAGCAGGTCTATTCTCTGAGAGTCTAGATATGCTTCCACCTGATGGTGGTAGGTGACAAACGTGGCAGACAAAGCATAGCTATCCTTTCACATAACCACTGTAAACCTCCATGCATGAACTGCAATATCAGGGGATGGAGGAAAGAACTGAGTACACACCCTCAGAACTTTCTGTCATCAAGGAAGGTGCAGACTCAAAAGTAACCAGGGAAAGACCCAAAACATCACACACTCAATATACCAACAGAAGAAAAGGAGCCAGAGGCAGCTGATCCAAGTTGGTCACAGGAGAGAACAGGTAATGAAGGAGACAGGTAACAAAACTGGACACTTGTTAGTTATGAAGTGCCCCTAGGCAGGGTAATAAAATATCCATAATCTTTGAGGCACAGACAACAAAACTTTCCAAAAATCTGGAGGGCTGAGTGGTGGTATAATTGACCCAAAGCTCCCTGGTGAAAATACTGTGATGCATTTCCACTTCATGGTTTCTCTGCAGTGATGAATAAAAATAATACACTTCTCAGTGAATGTAATGTTGGCATCAGAAATAGCACCTATAAGATACTTTTTTATTTTTAATGTACATTGATGCAGCACTCAAAGCTGGCTTTAAACTCAAACAAGATCTCCTATTTATGAAAATACTTGATAAGTTAAAACTAACTTTCCATACTTCATTATGACAACACTAGCAATTTACTGAAACTTAACAAGGGGCATGGCTGGCATGAGAATGTTGGATTTAAAGTAAAATCTTTGTGTCTCAATGGAAATCTTCAGGTCCTGATCAAATGCTTCAATACTCACATGCAACTATTCTACAACCTTGCCTCTGTACTTGGGCCTTTACTTTTTCTTACTTATATTAACGATATTGTTCAGTACATAAATTATCAATTAACAAAATTTACTAATGACATTACACTCTTGGGTATTTCTAGATGCAGTGAAGATGTTGAGGTATTACAGAGTGATTTGGATCAATTGGTAAGTTTGACAAGTATTTGGTAAATGACTAATTACAGACAGTGTTCACATTAATACTTTTTATGCAAAAATGTACACATTTTAATCATTTAATCATTCATCAATAATTGAAAAATTTGAACAAGAGCTTTTATCTTTTGATCTGCCTTGTACAAGTCTATATTGTGCTCTTTTAAGTCCAAACTCAATTTAGATAATTCTTGAAGAGCATCATGCATCAATCCCAGATTCAATAGAAATTTTTGCTGTAAACCCTCATATGCACATTGTTCTTTTTTGTCTCTTGTTGAATCATGCTTTTCTTCTTTGAAATCTTGCACTAATGCTTCATAGTTTTCTCAGTCAGCTGAAACTGACCGGAAACTAGATGCCACCCATCGAGTGCTTAAAATTCGGGCAATTTTTAAAAGTTGAATCTCCAGCAAGTTCGCGCAAACTTTTAGTTCTCTGCTATTTTTAGGTGACATGTGATACAAGACATAAAGTTTATCAATAAACGCTTTAAATCTGTTGATTTCTGAGACTGATTTTACAGTGTCACCGAATGACTGTTCTAATCTGTGATTAGCACAGTGCCACACAATTAAAGGAAATTTGCCTTTCATCAGTTTCTTAACTCCACTTTTACTCCCCAATATCACAGTTGCACCATCACATGCCACATAAAGTAAATAACTTTTCAGGTAGTCTTGATTCATTCCGTAAGACTGAAGACAATTGAGTAAAGAATCAAAAATTCCTTTTAGTGTAACATTTTCAAATTCGATCAAGTCCAAAAATAAATTTACAAGCGAGTTCATTCCATTATCCACGATACAGAATCAAATGTACACTATTAAGGTAGATTTTTTTACTCAAAGAAATTTCCTTGCCAATTATCAATGAAATTCTACTTTTTGATTTAGTAACTATATTAATTAGTGTTTTTTTCATTTCACCATTAATGTGAATTATGATGTTAATACACGTGTTTGTTGAGGTAAGGATACTGCCCATGTCAATTCCATTTAGTTCTTGTAAATCTATTTCAGATTCAAAAATATTAAATGACTTTCTTTTGCTACCTTCTATGCTGTGCAAAAATTTCTTGTGGTAATCAATTTTTCCCAAGATAATGCTTTCAAACACACATTTTAAATGGTCTCTTTCTCAGTTTCAGCCAACAATTTTACCACAGCTTTATGTCTCATGGTTTCCTTGTGATTGAAATCTCTTCCGCAAAGACAGAAGCTGTTGGTGTTGACTTTAACCAAAATAAGTTATTTCATGGTTGACCTATTATTTAAAAACTTTCATTTCTGCCTTCGTTTCCACTCCAAAAGTTCCAATTTTATGGCAAGGTGTTCAGTCAAGTTTCTTATTTCTAATATTCAGCCAATCGTACTTCCTGCAAAAATAATTTTTTGATTGGCAGTCCATCAACTAGGCCAGTTGTTGTCAGATAGCTTGTGGACATTGAATTGACCAGGAACAGAAACTGCCACTGACACCATTAATTCCTGTTCTTGGGTCACTTTCTCACTTATTCTAGCTTTCTTATTCACAGAAGGTGAAAAGAAACTTGTGATTCATTTCATTTTTATGTTGGGGTGTTTTCTCAAGACACAATAAACATGATATACACTCCTGGTCAAAATAAAATCAAAGCACAGTGGAAGAGAAATGCACACCCATTCAAACTACCATCACCACCTCGACTAAGCATGTCAGACTAAAACGACTTATTCCCAAGACTCACACACATTTTTTTTATCATCTTCATCCACTTTGTGATTTATTTTCTTTGGAAAAATGTGCAGTCCAGACCTTTATACCAGTAAATTCAGCTTGTGGTCACCTGTTTCCCAGTCCCAAACAGTCTCTTTGAACTCAGTATTGCATCCACCCAGGTCTGCACTCACCTGCCCCTGCCCAACTGAAACCTGTTAATCAAAATGAGGCCACTCATACATCGATTTATAGCAGCCATGTCTTGTTGGTGTTAAAACCACATGACCATTGATGTTCCTTATTAATGGCAAGCTAATCTTACTTGATGCTTCATACTTCATGTTGCACTGATGATCACACAATCACACATACACGACAAACAAGCAGTATGTTTTCACACTTCTTTAAACTTTGTCATTTGTAACACTTCAAGTTTTCTCTTTCTTTGATGTTCTTATGAACAAAATATTTGTTCAAAGGGGAAAATTCACAAATTCATTTACATTAGTCTTTCAAGTTTTGTCACCTTCCCTCCATCTTCCAATATGAAAATTGGTGCCAGTACACTGTACCAGTGCGTACTGCCCCAAAAAAGGCCTTGCTTTTTCCTATGGCACTGTGGGTGAAAACAGAACTGTTCCATTTTTCAGATTTATTGCATAGCATTTTAAATAGATTAGAGCACCATCTATCTTCAAAATCTCTTACTACACAACAAGTAGGACCTCATGGTTGGAAAAGCAAGAAAAACATTATAAGAAAACCAATGTAATGTAGAAAATGTTTAAATGTTATAAAAGTTAGTAAATAATAAATGAGAAAATTAAAATTTCTTAATTTTTTTACATTTTGTTTACAAATTTAAGGAGGCCCCATTGTTTTCTAAGTGGTTGGGTCTCTGGGGCTCAAAATATTAAAGTGCTAGCACAAACACTAATATAAATGTGCAAGATAATGAATTTGAGTTATTATTTGGATCACATGTTTAACATAGATGGCAACTGACTTAATAGAATATTGGAAAATTGATGGATAATTCAAACAAGCCATCAAAGCTATCCAAATTTTAGGGTGTATTTATAGACATTTCAATTAGAAGTCAAAAAGAAGTAATTATTTCTTTATACAAATCAATAATTATGCCTCACTTGAAATACTGTGTAAAATTTTGATCTCCCTATCTAAAATGTTGGTTGATTGACTGGATTGTGTCAAGTACAAAGCTACACAAAAAGCTCTCTCTGCTCTGCCCACCACAAGTATCAAAACCCAGTTTTTAGCACTGTAAACCCTGAGATTTACTGCTGAGCCACTAGGAGGCTATCTAAAATGCATAGTAACATACTGGAAAGGGTTCAGAAAAATCTGGGAATGAAAGGATTATCTTGTGGGGATAGGTTAAGATCTTATAACTTGTATTCTCTTGAGAAATGAAGAGTAAGAGGCAATAGTGTAGAGGTTTACAAAATTATCTGGGAGACTAACAGGATAAGTACTCTGATTTCTTTTTGTTATATTCTGAAGACAGTAGGACAAGAGGACACAAGTTTAAGATTTAAAAGAACAGGCTAGGATCCAATTAAGACAGTTTTATTTTTCTACCAGGGTGATTGGCTTATGGCATGAATCACAGTTTGCAGTAATGAAAGACAGCACTTTTCAAGAGAGAAATTGAAGATTTCCTGATAAGAATGGATTTAATGAAATTTTTATTTTTCTGAATAGTAAATGTACAAAAACAGCCTTGAAGGATGAAATGGCTCCTTATTACTCATGTTGTGTTAAACCCCACAAGTTTCATACAACATTACTAAAGCACATACAATATATTCATTATACTTGTAAGATTATAAATTACCCTTTAGTAACAATAACATTTATTCTACTTTTATCTTCATAAAGAGACGAGAGAAAACTATGTGGTAGAAAACTACCTGACTCATCAAACCAACCATCCTAAAAATAAAATTGTTCTTTTCCACTTTAACCAACTTAAGATCTATATATCTATTCAACAATTACAACTCTAACCCAAAGAAGTACACTTCATTTAGGCTTCCAAAGCTTAAACTAATTACCTCTATAGATATTCAACTTTGTATTTCCAACATTTACATTCCACTGCTCAAATACAAAAATCATCTAGTAACCTAACAATTTTGAATACGTGAATGAAGTCTCTCTAATTATTCTGTGCTTCAGTACTTCAAGTAAGAACTCACTTGATTGTTACAGATAGATGAAATAACATTCTTGTTCTTAAATTCAAAATTCCTAAAAGCAGAACAAGGAATCCTATGTTTTTCACTACAGTTAAAAGTCTCAACAGCAACAGGTTATTATCAACAATAATTTCAAAATTTCTCTTATTTTTCACAACACTAATGAGGCTGTCACAAATGTTCATTACCCAAGTGAATAACTTTACACTACTAAATGTAAAACTAGTCTTCCACATTATGCCCCATTTATGACATGCCAAGTTTCTGTTGGACAAATAGAAACACATTCAATAAATGTAGGTTTTCCCAGTATTTTAGTATCCCAGCAAAAGTTAGAAATATTAGTGCACAAAATTCCATCCAAATCATTAATATAAATAACAAACAAATGTCCTCAACAAATACCAGCATGACTAGTCATATTTACCCAGTTAGAAAAATGCTCATTTATTATTACAGTTTTTTGTAGAACAGTGACTGGCATAATACAACATATTCTTCTTTACTTTCACCTATAAGTTCTTAGAAATGCTTGAGTTTTGACACATGAGGGCTACTGAGCAGAAAATGAAGAAGTCTGTGTCATCAACTATCTTGTCACACAGCTTTGCAGTGTAGGTATATTGTAGACAAATTTCCTTTTATGATCAAATTGATGGTGTATCAATGAGATCTAAGTTAGCTCCATGCTTAGCTAGTGTTTTTCTATGCTATCAAGAAAAAATTATGGTTACAGCAGTATCTTGATCATTTTAAGCCAGTTCTTTATAAAAGATATGTAGATGATACTTTTGTACCATTCAAAAATAAATGTCACATACATAATGTTATTATCATTTTTGAATTAGAGACAACAAAACATAAAGTCCACTGTTGAAAAAAAAACAGACTCTACATTACCTTTTTTAGATCTACAAATTTTAAAAAGAGGAAAATATTACCTGTATCATATTACCATAAACCAATTTTTTTCAGTTTTATATTTCAACTACAGCAGCTTTATTCCTCATATTTTCAAAAATAATTTTGTGTTTGTACTGGTTTACAAGGCCTTTAACAAGCACAGAGTCAGCATTCAGTTTAGAACTTAGCAACATCAATAGCTATCTTAAGTTAAGAAGAATTGATTCCCTGAAAAAATTCATTCAATTTTAGTCATTCAATGTACCTAAAGGTTATTCAGCTATTATGTTGCCCTTTATGGGTCCTTTAAGTGATAAAATAAAGAAGATTTTGAACATTTTAAAAAACATATCCACAAATATCACAGAAGGTGATATTTAATTCTGAAGCATGCATAAAGGATTTCTTCAAGGTGAAAGATACAATTCCAACACAATGGCAATCACACGTTTACAAATTCACTTGTATTCATTGTAAACAGGTCTATATTTGTTCTATGATACATGAACTAGAGGCACAAATTAGAGAACATCTTAATCTGAATGAAGGAAATCAGTTTAGCATTTACCTATACTGCTACAACATGTGATTGAACAGACTTCGACATTCTTTCTGAAATCACCCTTTGGATAGAGGATTCTTTACTGATCTGACAATTAAAACCAGAACTAAATGAAACTTCCTCTTTTGCTCTATGCATGAAGACTTGTGAGACATTAGTAATAGTAGAAATAATACAAATAAACACTCATCAAGACAGTAAGATAACCTATCTGATTTTGATCATAGAACAGATGCATAAGAAGAACCTTAAAATTTAAATAAACATTTCAAAAAATGCTAGTACTAGTAGTACTGAAAAAGTGAAAGTAATGCTTCAAGTACTAGTAGTACTACCACTACCAGTAGGAGCAATTTATCATTTATGAACAGATATTGCAATTTGTAAAAACACCTGTGAACACGACTTAACAAATAAAGCAGTAGGCCTACACAGGACGGTAACCGTAGCCTATTATAGTTTTAACACCATTTTATAGCACTAATCTTAATTGAATTTGATAGTTAAACTAAAGATTATGCTGAGGCTAGAAAAAACTGAAATACTAACTCAGTAGTTGCGAACTGTGATTGGACCATTTTTGTTTCACAAAAGTGCTTAAGGTACACTCAATTACAGTTTATACATACCGTCTTCCGTGCTTATCTGAAACTTTCTTTCACCAAACAGTTGTTATTCTTAACAAATACAAGTCATTACTATTACAAGTTACACTTACAACACATACCGAAGACCCTAATTGTGCTTGACAATCTACAAACTCCTCTTTGATGAAAACCAAAACGCCACCACAGGTTACAAAACGAAAATACAGACGATCGATTTATATTACTACAATTTACGGTAAAAAAACTAATTTAGTTGAAAAGTAACTTCAAAAATATAAAAACATGTATTTATTTATATTTAAATTTGTATCTTGTTACTTGCACAATGAAACGTTTCTCCGTTTACTTGTTTTTTTTTGTACAAGTTGTCATACAAACCTATTACTTATATAATGCTCTTATACTACTACTAGTTATAGTAATGGCTGGAGACGGCTTGAATGGGTAATGAAGAAAAACTTTAAT